CTAAGAAATTCAAGTACATGTTACTTCCTGTGTCATATTTTAGTCTTCTAATTATGAAGTTAAATTCTTCGAATGAGATCCTGGCGTCCAGTGAGAAATACAGAGTTTTGAGTATTGGTCTATTCAAGTTAGGACATTTGCCCACAAAAGGGCTTCAACAGAGGAGGTAAAAACTAGACAAAACTTAGAAATACAGTTCAAACAATGGAAATATTAGGTCAGCATAGGCTGCTTTTGATAATCACAAGACTTTTTCTTGGACGGGATTCTGAAGTTCCTTTAAACAGGAACTCCAGTTTTACCTGAGTGGAARAGCAGTGCTTCATGCTATCTCTATATTTTTAAGCAATTTTATATAAGAGTTTGGTAACACTGAGGATCAGGTTAACTGTAAGGTTTCTTTATATTGCAAATGGTTTGCAACTTCAGTGGGTTTTTTTAGGGTTTTGTTTTGTTGGGGKTTTTTTTAGTGATTTTTTCTGTTGTTTTTGGGGAGTGGTGGTTTTTGTTGGCTTTTTTTGGTTTTGGTTTTTGTTTCTGTTTTTCGTTAGTTGGTTTTGTTTTTAATTGGGATTGTATAGTATCTTTTTTCTTTTTCACCTGGACTTTACAGTACTGATTAATTCTCCATACATTGTTAGTTGCAGCACAGAATTTCTGAGTCCAAATGTGTGTTGGTAAGGGTGTCATTTTAGGCATTTTTTTAATTGCACATAACTACAATGTGCACCTGACTACCATGAGGAACTTTATGTTTTTTCTAACAATTTAATATGCCATGCACTTCCAGTAATGGACAACAGGGAGGAATTTTTTCCCCAAACAGTGATCTTTWGTCTCAGTTAGCTTATGGTTCTATCTTACAAATGTCACACAAATCATATTCCTGTTTAATCTTTGCAAAGTGGGAATAAAATTTCATGTAGCCTTACTATATATCTACTTAAGCCTTTAATTCAGATGTTTTGTCTGCTCCTTGTGAGAACTTACATGTAGCTCCTTTTCCTTTGCCAGCTTTCTTTTGCTCCCAGGAATCAGAGACTAATCACAACACTAATCCAATCCRTTGATCCACTTTGGCTTCAACTTCTGGGTTGTCTTGCTCTGATGGTTCCAGAGTACAATCAATGTTTCATTTCACACTCCTGTCGTTAAATCTAGTGTTCTTGCCTCATTTCCTACTCCTGGTAACAACTACCAGGTCTGTTGTCATTTTCCCTTTGTTTTCATTTTATTCTCAACCTTTAATTTTCTCTGGCTAATCCAAACCTGAAAGCTCTTGGAGCAGAGAGAAATACATTATTTTGCTTGTCTGTAAGACCTCTCAAGCAGAGATGTCAAGACATCATGTCATGCTCTGCAAATATTTGGATTTTGCTGGTATGAGGAAATTACCCCTATTCCTTCTTACCATCCAATTATGTGTTTCTGCACTTTCTTACTATTCCAGTTACTGGTTTCAACATTTGAGAAAACCTTTTAAAATACAAAGTAAAAAAAAAAATGTTTAAGAGTATTTAAAGTCAGCGCATTGACAAGCAAGAACTCAACAGCCATGGTGTTAATTTGGTTTAGCAAAGATTTGTGATCCAGTAAATCCTGTAGATCCAGTAGTCACGCAGGACTGGTTTATTGACTTGGACCTCTTCTTGGTCCTGATTCTAATGATAATTATAAATTCTTATATATGTGTTCTAGAGGTGCTGTTGATGCTCATCGTACCCATAGTTGGAGCATTAGTGAAAAGATTGAATTTCTACATAAAAAAATCTAAGGGACAGAAATTAGAATATAATTTTAAARGAGTAAGCTGGAGATGAAGGAAAAACATAATATCTACATTAAATTTGCTTTATCCAAGCAATTTTTTCCTGCTCATTGTGATGTGAAGATATACATTGTTGTCAAAATGAAACAAATAAAAACAAACAAAATCCAAACTCTCCATACATACATATTTCTAAGATACAAGCAGAGAGCTGCCTTATGAAAGATTTCRATTTCAGGATAAAATATTTTGGGCCTGTTCATGTGCTAACAGACCATTCAATTTATTGGATTTTGGTTGAGAAATCCAGCTCCATTCCCACTGGGCACTTAATATTGTTGTCCAGAACCACCCCAGAAAGGGGATAAGAATAAACTGCTGTCCTGCTTCATTCAGGGGTGTTGCACGCTGGATTCTACAGAATTTGAAGCCTCAGGATATCGTTAGGAGTGTAGAAAGAAGTGGGCATCTCTGCAGAGCTCAAATGCAGTTAATGGAGCTCCTCAGGCTATAAAATTGTGCATCCTCAATATTTGTACATGTGAATGAAAATCCTGTTTTATTCCAGAGCTGAAAAAATGGACACATTTATGCACAACTAGGGCAGCTTTTTTTTTTTTTTTTTTTTTTTTTTTTTTTTTTTTTTTTTTTGTTTTTTATTCTCTCTCTTACTCCCATAGAAGATGCATTGAAAAGAAACGGGCTGTTTTTTTTCAAGTTGTTTTTTTCTTTTTAACTACAAGAGTTTCACTGTGTTAGTCATGGGTTCTCATGTTGCTTTTTCATCTTATTTGAATTTTACCTTCTGGGACAAAAAAGCAATAGGAAAGAATAGTACACAGAATCACAACTTGTGGTGGGAATGAATCTGGACAGATAAACTGTGTTTGTTGTGTCAGAGCCGTTTCTTGCTGGATYTATGTTTTACAAAGGGATAAGTGACAAAAAAAATTTTGATGTGTACTACACATTTGCCCAGAAGGCATGAGATAAACTCTGTAGTCATTAACTTGAAGGGCTATTCATAACAGGCTCTTCCTGTTACTCTTGAGAAAATCKTTGCTCTGCAGTGCATAATTTTTCTCCTTCTTTGCTTGCCAAAGAGTTTCTTTGGTTTATGTTGTATCAATCCATTCTGTAACTCATATAGTTTAATAAAAAATTATAGAATGCAGTAGAATGTTTAGATATATATAGGCAGACCCTAAAATTTATATAAATCCATACTAAGTTTGCATTGGGGTGTTTGAATTTCAGGCTTGCTGTCCAGAACTTGACTGTCTTTTCCTTGTCCCTGTTTCCTTCTGAGAAGTTCTCTCTGTCTCAGTTTGCTTATGTAATGGAAGGTGATAATGAGAGCTCTTCCACCTGTAAACTGTCACTTTTGCAATGAATTCTGGTACAGATGGGATTTGCTTACCCTTAGTCTGAAATTTTCAAGAGTTCTTATATGTTGTACCCTGGAGAGGATGTGTGGGATCTGACAGTTAAGAGAGTTCTGTACATTTGTACAAATGAAACTGTACATTTCAGCCTCTAGAATAATATTTTAGATCCTTATTATCTGGGGGATTTAATGTCTGTATTTTAAAGGTATCTTTTTTCTACTTTATTTTTGGAGAAAAATCAAAACAGACATTTAAATGCAACGTGATACTGGGCTTTGAATACTGAATAAATGAGTTGTTCTTTTAGTCTTTTAGAGAAAACGTAAAGTTTTTTCAAAGATGYTTGAAAGCTCTCTGAATAATGCTTATTTGCATGTTTGCGGGTTTTAGGAGAAGGAAAGCACTAAACTGAATTGCTGCATTTGAATTTTTATGAATTTTGTATTATGCAACTCAGCCTACTGTAAAAGCAGTGAAAGGTGGAGTGCTTTTTCATTTAATGATGGTTTTGCTTTTGTTATTTACTTTTAACTACTGGGCACTTAAGTGAGTGACTGATTTTACTGAATAAAGACTCACTGCCTTCAATAGTGGCTTTCACTTTTTTTGCAATTAACGTATGGCTCATGTCTAAAAACAGTCTTAGTTTGAAATCAGTAGTATCAGCACCAAATTATTGGAAGCAGGAAGTAGAAATGGAAGTTTCTATGCCACAATGGCAACATCTAGTTTCATTTCAGATGTAGTGGAGTATCCCTTCCATAAGGGGATCTCCATAAAGACCCTAAGCAATAGCACAGGTTTTTATTCACACACCAAAGTTAGTTAGCAACATTTCAGCCACTGATTACTTTATGTACATCCTGTAAAGGTCAGAGTTTGTAAATGTGTTCTTACTTCCTGTGGTATCTGTTGTAGTTATAGGTAGCTTATAACCACAGTTGTTCAACTAGGTATTGGRTTAAATGTAGCTTTTAGGAAGGGTTTTTAATTGTCATTAAAATTGTCATTTAATTGTGAAAAGCCTTCTCTACCAAGTAAAGGCACCAAATAAAAAAAATTAGTCGCATAAGGGGTCTTGAAGACTAGAAAAGGTCTAACAATGTGGAATCTAAATACAGAATTACGGGAAGAAAACTTCAGATAAAATGCGTGAGTTCTTACATGCTTGTAACTGGAAAGAAAGCGACTTTTCCTCTCCTAGCAAATGCTATTTCAGGATTGTTTTGGAGGATTTCACATCTTATGGGAAAWACTCATAAGGGAACATGACACAAGAGAGAATTTGTTTCTCAGAGTCTCTTTTATGTTTWAAAAAAATCGTCAGAAATGTGTTGTTGTCAAACTTATGATTCCAGGTGCATAATACCMTTTATTCAGAGAATGCGTGTTTAAATCTAGAGTGTTTGAGAGGTCAGAGCTAAAAGATAGTCTGCTGAAGTTTTGGGTTCAGAAGCTGTCATGTAGAAGCTAAAGTTGAACAATTTTGTCTCCTCCTGCACTGGAAGGCAAAGCATAATGTTGAAGAATTACACTTCACTTACAATGATATTACCGAGTAAACCCTGGAGGGAAAGAAAGGGAATTTCATTCTAGACTGTTTCAAGTTGTATTTCTCTTGTATTCAGGTGATGAGCTAGCAAACTAGCCATCCCTATCATTATTGTTGTCATCATTTTTGTTATGGTTATTTTATTACGTTGACAAGAAWAAAGAAATAACGTCCAGAAAAATTGGACGCTTCAGTTCTGGGGAGGACAACTGATAGCAGAGAGTGGTTTTGTTTTCCTGTGCCTTTTCTGAGGTTAGCTTTTCTCACTGTTGTCACTCTGGCTGTCGCGCAGGTGGTTGACCAGATTGACACGCTGACATGTGATCTKCAGCTGGAGGATGAGATGACAGACAGCTCCAAAACAGACACACTCAACAGCAGCTCCAGCAGCACGACGGCTTCCAGCCTGGAGAAGGTGAAGGTTCGGGGGAACGCGCCGCTGATCAAGCCTCCCGCGCACCCCTCGGCCATCCTGACGGTGCTGCGCAAGCCGAACCCGCCGCCGCCKCCGCCGCGGCTCACCCCGGTCAAATGCGATGAGCCGCCCAGACCGCCCCCCCTGGCCAACCCCCTCAAGACTAATGGCACCCTGCTGAGGAACGGGGGCCTGCCCGCGGCGCCCGGCCGCATTCCCAACGGAGACATGTGYTGTATAGCGAGCAGTAACCTGGAGAAGGCGGTGATGCAGCCGCTGCTGCACAGAGCGGACAAGGAGCGCTGTCCGCAGGCGGGAGCGAGGGAGCGGGTGCGCTTCAGCGAGAAGGTGCAGTACCACGGCTACTGCCCCGACTGTGACGTTCGGTACAACATTAAAAACAGGGACGTGCACTTGCACAGCGAGTCGGCCCGTGGTGCCGGAAAGCTGCCGCACCAGTGCCCTCCTCTGCCGCCTCCACCACCTCCGTTGCCTCCGTTTCTTCTGGAAAATGGAGGGTTGGGGATAAGTCCCAGTAATAGCTTTCCTCCTCCGAGACCTGCAACTGTGCCTCCACAAACTGCGCCAAAACCCCAGAAGACCATCTTGAGGAAATCAACCACTACAACAGTGTGAAGTATGCCCCTTGTAATAACTCTTTGTTTTTTCCTATATATAAACATAAATAGGTAATGAGCACTTTCTACTTGAGCAATAAAAAGACCCAATGTATTACACCCTGTGTCCAGTGAAGTGGCATAAAAATCACATGGTAAGTACAGAGATGAATACTTGTTGGTCTTATTTGTACTCACCAAAAATACCATTCAGCAAAGGCTGCTGAAAAAATACCCATTCTTTAGCACGTAGGTTGTAAACATCTGTAGCTGTTTCTTCTTTGTAGCATGGTTTAAAAGACAATGGAAAGCAAGTCCAGTGTGAAAATACTGAGTAGTGATTTGTGATAGATTTCAGTCTATCTGACATGAGGGAATAACCATTGCTCGTGGGTTTTGGGACTTTTCAAATGTCTTTTGATAAAGCAAAGTGAAGTGCCGGATAACAGCCTTTGACTGAATTCCAGCAAMTGCTTTTTTCTCTTTATGAGTGCTTGAGCAGACACACTCAGTATGGACTGGCGCAGGGGAATGTAATCACTGGACTTTCAGCAGCTTGGTCTTTGGTGGGGAAGTAAAGCAATAATTGAAATGAACRTTGGCGTGGCTCTGGAAAACTGAGTGTCATTTTCTTTCTGGCTTGCTCAGTGCATCATTGCCAGTGTAAAGCACAGAGTTTTGGGATGAGCAGGGATGGTCCCATTAAGTTTCCGCTGTTACTCCATCTGCGGAATGGCAGTGATATTTTATCTCACTGTGCAGTGGCAGTAGACTGAAAAAACAAAGTCCAGTTCTGCGTTTTTCACTAAGCTTTTGTCTGGTGCAAATCTCTTTTTGAAGGCAAAGAAAATATTGCCTAAAGCCTTCAGGGACATCCACTTAATTCATGTAAAGAGCTTTCAAGTTGAAAAGCTCTGTGCAATTATGAAGCATTAACATGCAAAACAAGATATTTTACATGTTATCACATTTTTATGGTGAACCCAATTAATATTCTTACTAGTTGAAAAAAATCCTCAGTGTTTTTAATTATTTTATTAAAGAACATCCTTTTATTCTCACAAAGAGAATTACAGGGACTTAGAGTTTAAAAAAACATTCAGTCAGTAAAGAAAAATCTGATAATAAATATGTTATTTACAAAACTTGTGCCAARTTAATCTCAGTAGCCAACAGTAAATGCTATATTAAAAAAGTAGGCTTATTTCAGCTAAAATATAGAAGGTAGTTTATAGCAAAACCAACAAAACCAGACAAAACAGATTTTAAATTTCAATTTCTATTTACATGTAGTAATAGGTATATGTTTCCTTATATACATATTATAGTATTTAAACCAAAATAATAAGAATAACAAAAGCTCCATCAGATGACTACCAGTTTTAAACCTTTGCAATTAGCAAAGAGGTTATTCAGTRCAAATACACATTCGTGGTCTAAAGCCTCATGAGGTATTCCCTGCATAAAAGGCAAAGAAAGGAAATCATCTTAAATTCTTAATCATGCTCTCCCCTCTTGCCTCCCATGTGTTTTGCATGAGGCACTTTACATTTGGTATTGTTTGACTGTACATAATCCCACGAGAGCTGTTGCCAAGTGCAGTAAGTCCAGGCACTCGCAGCAGGAGGCAGTAACTCATTCTGCATCTGTGCAAGATCTTTGCTGCCCAAATGAGGGTTTGGCAGGGAAATTCTGCTCACCTGCTGAGACTCGACAACACCTCCCTTGCTCATATGTTGAAAATTATATTTGAAATCACTGAAACAACGTGTGGACATATCCACATTGCACAGGTGCAGGTTTTTGTTTTAAAAAGAAAATGCCTGCTGTCCTTACTTTATGACTGCTATAGAGATCATATACCTGTTATAAGCTAGTTTAGATTTTTTTAGTTTATATTTKTTTTTAATTCTTAAATGAATAATTTTCATTCTAAAAGATAATGCAAATCAAATACTGCACATAAACTATTAAAGAAAATAACACTGAGTCATTTTAAGGGAGTATGGTCTGCTGCACAYGTGTTATCTCACTTGGCTTAATTTTTCCAGTATGGACTCTACTCTGGTATCAGAGCACAAGGTTTCTCCTCTGGGCTTGTCAAGAGTTTCATGAACATTTTAGCGCCTCCAAACCGGATGTTGTGCTCAATGGATGTGCATTGATATACAAGTAAATTTCAGTTTTGTTGCAGTTCCCAGCTCTGGAAAGCTTAAGCAGCATCTGAGTTTCAGCAATTAATGTTCAGTTTTGGTATCCAACATCATCCATCTCATACTTTGTCTTCTCCTCCATAAGTGCTTTCGTGTCTCTTTCCCCATGCCTCCTGAATATTTTCACATGATATGGCTGTGCCATGAAAAGATGCTGCTTTTCAAATGCAGTGCTATCTTTGGCCAGAAACACAGTTTCAARATGTGATGGAAAAATTGTTTTTCTGCAAAGTTTGGTAACTCACGCTTTCTTTAATACAATGTGTTCCAAGGACTCTGTTAAATCATAGTACAAATGTTGAATCGGTTATGTTTTAATGAGAACACCTCTGGCCTGTTCCCTATTGCAAGGTATTATTATCAGTATAATAATTTCACATTAATAACGTGACAGAATAGAATTAAGGTTAAAACAGGTAAACTTGCAAAACATGGGAAACAATTAACTTTAAATTTTGCAGCACTGTCTGAAAACTGCTAATAGAAATGGCATAACAGCAAATGAATGCTCAGCCAGCAAGATTTCTTATATTTTTATTAGGATTGTAAGCTCTTTGAGGCATTTCTGAGMACCTACTTCACACCTCACTGAGGAAAATCCAATAAACTATTCAGAACTGGGCAGGAATTTTCTGTCTTTGCAATGTAAGTGTAATATTTTCTGAGATTACATTTAGTGTTKTGCAAAGAAATTAATACCTGAAAATCATGAAAGTCCAGTTACAGTACTCAGAGCTTTAATTCAATGTTTGCCATCACTTCAGTCTGCTGTCTGGCTTTCATTCCCTTAAGGTATTTCAAATCTGAACTGTCCAGATCTAGACTTCTCAAATGCAAATAGGAGAAGATGGCTTCTATCGATTGACTGAAGGGATTAAGTTTAAGAGAATTAAAATAAGTAAYGAAAATTCCTTAATTTTTAATAATGGCATTCAGTAATAAAAGCTAACACATCAATGCATTGTAATAAAGGAAAACTAGGGAAGTAAATTCCAGTAACAATCCTTTTGAAGGACATAGCATAAGGATCTTCAAAAAGATCATGGGTCTTTCTATCCCCTAGTAAAAGTCAAACTTCTTCCTTCTCTCTTGTCTTCTCCAACAAATCATACATTTTTCTCAAAAACAAGAAAAAAAAATCCAAATCTTCATCCATGCTTTTATTATTACATAAATATTTTATTTAAAATGTGACATGAAGTAAGTAAAGTACTCTACAGTTCTCATTTTTAGCTTTGTTCAGATAACTTCTTTATTGGCTCTGAGGCAGAGAGGACTATGATTTCTTTAATTACCAGAGAGATTTATGTATGGATGTTTGCTCAGATCTCTTTTTTCCATGTTCTAATTATGACTTTCCATGATGCTGCGAAYAGTAATTTCACATGTGGATATAAAACCACGCTATGGTTGCTGTGTCACTTCTCTGATGTAGTCTTAAAGCAGGCATGAGTATTGGGCACATATTTTTGCAGAGGCTGCATTTCTCATGCCCTATTTGTATATAAACTGTTGAGCCATGCTTTTTCAGAGGCTGTAGGTGTGTGTATAGAAGTAAAACAGCCATCCACTGCTCAAACTAGTAAAAATATTGAAAGCATAATGCTCACAGTGCAGTAAGGCTTTGCAAGCGAGGCATGCACAAAGGCATGTGGTAGAATATCTGTGGTAAACCTTGCTAAGTGCAACGCCAGGAATACTCGCTCTGAAAAAATACATGGCACTTGTTAAATAACCACATTTTCTATTTTGTAGGGAAATTTGTGGTATATCTCATACAATGTTTACATCCTGCAGCCTAAAATTTCTGTATCTGTTAGCACAGACCRTAACTGAAGCAGCAGCAGCTCTGGTTCAGAATCCTGCAGAGCAGTGCATGAAAACTGCAGTACAGCCTCRTCTTTGGTGGCAGTTACATGCTGATGTTTTTCATTTGAGAAAAAGTAGCAGGGATTTTATCTCAGCAGCCAGTTTTATGGTGGCAAATATATTGTCCAAGGGAGCCAGTTTCTCCATCAGTTGTAATTTTGGCAAGGTATCTGTAGTAATCCATCTTTTGATGGCTCTGGGGAGCACAAGTAAGCTGACTTTCATTTCTGATCTTAAATGATTTGACATGTCTCTAACTCATATTGGTCAAASAGCTCTCCTGCTAGCTGAGACTGGAGCTGACCATGTATCCTGCTGCAGGAGAAAGGCCCGTGCTSCAGTCAACCTGTGCAAGGCTGCTCCTGTTCTGTGTGTCTTCACAATTTTTCATGTGTGGCAATGTCCTCTTTACCAATGTTCTGGTTTTGTTAAGAAATTGCACGTGCACTCTGTCCCTCAGCTGGGCTGCATTTCTTCTGTGGTGAAGCAGGTGGGACCATGGCAGTATTTAAATTACTCAGACTTTTGCAATGCTGAATCTTTTCAAAATTTTGAAGCAGTTTTCAAGCAGCTTTGGAGGAAATTATTCTCCTGTCAGGTTATAAAAATAAGGTGAGAATCTCTCATGCAGATATGATGAGGATGGGCTAAAATTTTCATATTTTGAGGGACTAAGTTTGTTATTGCAAGACTATGTATCTTTTGTTGTATGAAAATTGTTTTTATAGACATGTGACAAAACAGTAAAACATAAATTGCACCCAATAGCCAGCCGACAGCAGTGCTTCAAGGAATGAGTAGCACCAGAATCATTCTGCTCCCTTGCTTGCGAAAGATAGAGAACAAAACTCCAGGAGTTGCTCTATTTTCTCCTCAATAGAAGAGGGTTTTTTTTTTTTTCTTTAATTCCTGAAATACTGAGTGTGTGTATTAGAATTCTTTAAGGAAAAGGGCACCATCTACCTCATTGCTGGTTGTAAATTATATTGATAAAAAGAAATTATGTTTTTATAAAAATTTTCTTATATCAGACATGTCCCTAGATGTTGTTTGTCTGATCTTTTGACTACTTA